CTTTGCAAAGTCTCCGCTTTAATATCTGCCATTTGCCCCAAGGCGTCACAAATTATCTGTATGAGATTCTCCCTTTTTTCCTCAGGGATCCCCTAGAATCTTAGGGCATTTGCAACTGTAATAGTTGTGACTCATCTGCTTAACGTTTCTTCTCCATTGCCTGCATTTGTTTTTGTAGCTTTTTGGCATTGGTATCAACTTCTTTAAGTTCCTGTTCAGTTTGAGCTACCTTTTTGACAGTCTCGTTAATTTGGGCTTGCTGTGTGTCTAGCTTTTGAAGCGTAGTGCTTCATTTAATATCCTTTGCAGGTCTGAGTTGTGTCCTGTCTGGGCACAACACTCGCTGGGCTAGCACTTCCAGCAGACTTAGCTTTCACTATCTTTTCTTTCTCCTCTTTCCTCATTGGAGGTGCCATTTTTGAGGAATTGTTTACTTTTCAACAAAAGTTATCACAGTCTCTAAAGTTCTTCAATGCACTTGGTAAGTTCTTAAAAGTCCTTTATTTCGGTCTTTTTCACTTCCCAAGCCCGCCCCTCTGCTTAAACAGTAAAGTTCACTTATGTTTGTCTTTTTGGGGTAGAGTCCCCTCCTCCCTTGCTTCCCGCGGGGCAGCTTTCGACTTTTTTCAATGTTCTCGCTTTAACTTAACTCACAGTTCAATGGCAACATGGTTTTCAGTTCCCTTTAAGTACCAAATCACTTGATCACCCGGCACTTGATCCGGTGTGCGCTTCTGGTTCCATCAGGAAACTCCATAGCAGGACTGTTGGGGCATGAATGGCCTCCTCCTCACCGGCAGGGTCGCCGGAGGGAAAGCCTTCTAGCACCCCATGGCTTGGAGTCCATCTCAAGGACTCTGTGGGGGATGCGGGCGATCGCACCCCCTCCTTGCCACGGGTTCTGGTGATCGTCTCCTGGAGGTCTGGGAGAAAGTGACCGCCATGGCGAACGGCAAAACCGGAAGTCCCCTGTGTCTAAGTTTGACCCTTGCCTATCATAACAGTGTCAAGCTGGCTTGGGTTGGTCAAGTGGTTCCAGGAGTTAATAAGCACCTTTCTGTGGGAGGGTGTAGTTCCAGAAGCTTCGAAAGAGGCAGTCATCATGAGACCCTTCTTGAAGAGGGTATTCATGGACCTGAATAACGTAAATAACTACTGCCTGGTGGCCAACATTCCATTATTGGGAAAAGTGCTTGAACAGGTGGTGGGAGCTTTAGGCAGTGCTGAAGGAGATGGATTTATCTGGAATCATTTCAATCTGGATTTAGGCTGGGGTTTGGGACAGAAGTGGCTTTGGACAGGAGGAGGGCATCCTTGTTGATTCTTGTGGACCTCTCAGTGACTTTTGATACCATAGACCATGGTATCCTTCTGGAGAGACTGTCTGGGTTGGGAGCAGAGGACACCATGCCTTGATGGTTCTGCTGTTACCTGGATGATGGCTTCCAGAGGTGGTGTTGGTAGACTGCTGCTCAGCCCTGTGGCCATTTATACTATGCAGTCGCACAGCGATTGATGTTGCCCCCCACTCTCTCTAATATCAATGTGAAAACCCTGGGAGAGGTTGTCAGGGGATTTGAAGTAATGTGCAGCTAACATGTGGGCAATATCAGCTCTGTTTCTTCTTAACAGTTGAGTCAAGTGGCTGTGTGGGAGTTATGACCAGGTGCCTGGAGAAAGGTTGAGGGTCAATAAACTGAAGTTTAACCCAGACAAGACTGAGGTGCTGTTGGTCAATGACAAAACTGCTCAAGGCTTGAGGAGTCAGCCTGTCCTGGAGAGTGTTGCACTCTCCCTGAAGCAGCAGAGCTTGGGAGTGCTGTTTGATCCTGGCCTACAAATGGAGACTCAGATCTTCTCCATGGCACGTAGTGCCTTTTTAAAGCTTCAGCTGATGCAAAAAGCCTGTTCTTTCATAGTGATTCATGCTCTAATTATATCTGTTAGATGACTGGTAATGCCCTCTGTGTGGGTCTGTCTTTATGAACAGTTTGGAAATTCCATTTGGTCCAGAATGTGGCAGCCAGGTACTTGTCAGGTGCTGTATCTAGGGATCATATCACCCCTGTGTGGAAAGATATTCATTGGCTGCCCATCTGTTTCTGGGTACCATTCATAATGCTGGTTCTTACGTATGAAGCCCTAAATAGCTTGGGGGTCAGGTACCTGAAGGGCTGCCTCCACACATATAGGCCTACCAGTTAACAGCCTTTTCTCAAACTCTGCTCTCTTGCAGAAGTGAGACAGGTGGTTACCAAAAACAATGCTCTTTCAGCAGAGGCATTTTGCTTTTGGAATGCCCTCCTCCTTGAGGTATTC